CCGGCGAAACGAAGGGGGGGAAACAAAACGAGACAGAACAGACCGAGAGAGTAAAGGGGCGGTTCGAAGAAAGAGTGAGCAGAGAGAGAGAGAGAGAGAATCAAAGAGAGAGAGAGAGAACAGAGAGAGAGAGGGAGGAAGATAAAATGGAGTGGCTCATCAAAGGTTGACCATTGAAACTCGCTGCGGTGAGAACACGGTAATTTACCAGTTGACTGTCGAAACCCATTGGTGTGTGAACTTGGCTCACTGATGTGTAATCTAGCGGGATCGCTAGTTGACTGTTTAAGTTAAAGTTCGCTGTTGTGGGAACTTGACTCATTACTATATAATATGCCGTGTTCACTATTTGTCGGTTTAAATTAAAACTCGGTGCTATATGGACTTGACTCATCGCTGTGTGACCAAGTCAGTTCACTAATTGACTGTTAATACTCACTGCTGTGGGAACATGCTAACGGTGCGTGACAGCCAACCTCAAACTCGATCCTTGCTGGTCGCTGAGGACCTCGGACGCGGCCGTTGCCCTTGGCTTCAGCGACAAGCGGGCGCCCCTCCCCGGGTTTCCCTGACACCGTGACTCTCCGCCGTTCGGCTTTGTTAAGTTCTGACAGCGAGTCGCCTGACAGTCTTCGTAGCAATAGAAGGTTTGTCCAGGCTTCTGCCCGGCGGGCACTCGGCACAAATCCGTCGGTTGTTCTAGCGTCTAGATACCGCTTCTCAGTAGGGACTTGGTCCGTTCTATAATTGGGACAGACCCACGTCTTTTCACTTCGGTACCTAACGCTCTGTCCGTGAGACTTGACCGTATGACACTGACTTCACTGTACCCATAAAAGAAAACTGGGCCCTCCCGGATGTGACCCTTCTTGGTCCGGAATTATAGGCAAGGTACAGAAGAAACAGGGACTTAGGTGTGTTTCAGAGGACAAGTTGAGGCTAGATGAGAGAGCGAGGGAGTGGGATGAGGGCTGAGAGATAGTGTCTGCCATCTCCGATGAAACCTCCATTCCGGACTCATGCGTCGTCCTTACGCAGCACGTGTAGCTCCCCGTAGTGTGGTTTCGTCGCCGCGACTTCTGGCTTCCACGGAATGAGTCGCTCATTGGCGGGACACTTGTTGGGTGGCAGAAGGCGCGTTAATCCATCGGCATTATCATGTTGCCGCTTGGCGCGATGGCGGATGTCGAAGTCGTAGTCTTGCAGATGCACCGCCCACCTGCCTAGCGTCCCCGTGTAGTCCGTGTTGTTGCGTAGGGATAGCAGCGGCTAATGACCCGTTACCAGCACGAATTTCTGGCCGTACAGATACGGTCGGAAGTGCTGAATCCCCCACACCACCGCCTGACATTCACCTTTGCATGCTTCGTAATTAGCCTGCGCCTGGCTTAGCGTCTTGGACGCATACTCAATGACGTGCTCCCTWTCGTCCTTCCCGTGYCRAGTCAGCACCGCCGATATCGCCTGAGGCTGCCAGTCTGTGTACAGTGCGAACGGTCTTGTCGGGTAGGGACACGCCAACACAGGAGCAGATGTCAGAGCCTCCTTCAATGCCTGAAAYGCCGCTTCACATTCCGRCGTCCAGATCAGYTGTTCCTCTTTCTTCACCAGGTTCGTGAGGGGCTTCGCTATACCGACGAACCCCTTGATGAAGCCTCGGTAATAGGATGCCAGCCCTAGAAAAGCCCAAACCTGGGTGAGTGTGACCGGCGCCGGGGCATCTTGAACAGCTGCCACCTTCCTCGGATCCGGTTTTAGTCTGTCGACCGTGACGGTATACCCCAAGAATGAGATCTCCGACAAGAAGAACTCGCTTTTCTCCAAGGCCACTTTGAACCCGGCATCTTTCAGTGCATGCAAAACCCACTCGATGTGTTCCACGTGGTACTCATGTGTTTTTGAAAAGACCAAAATATCATCCATATACACAATCACGCAGAAATTGATCAGGGGCTGGGTTAGTCGGGTTTTGTTAACGAACTCAGCGAAGGCCRTATTCATGGCCCGCTGAAACRTTGCCGGGGCGTTGCAAATTCCCATGGGACACTGGACCCATTGCCACGTGCCCTCGAATAGGACAAAAGCGGTTTTGGGTYGGTCCTCCGGTCAGACTGCGACGTGGTGAAAACCGTGTCGGATATCGAACTTGGAAAAGACTCGAGCGGCCCCGATAGCATCTAACAAATCATCAATTCGCGGC